TTCGACCATCTGACCGGTAGCTATGACACACAATGACAACCGGGGACAGACACTCTGACCGGTAGCTGTGACCGTGCACTGACCATCAGGGGCAGATGCTCAACACAGGAGCTGCCAAGCTGCAGTGACTTGGCAGCTGCAGTTCTCAGGTGATTCACCTGGAACCAGAGTGGAGGGAGCTCCATTCTGGGGTACATCACCCCAGAACTGCCTTCTCGCAATCTGGGACCCCTTTGGGGATGTTGGAGAGCCAGTTTTGGCCTGATCCCCACAGGCCAGGCCAAGGGACCCCACCAGTGCACGAATCTGCATCGGGCCTCAAGTTAATAAATAATAACACAAGAACAGACTGTTTGACCTACAAGTGTAAACCTCCTTTTGCCCCTCCCTGAATAGCCTTCATTCTTATTTAACTTGTTATTTTATAAAAGGCACTAGAGGCCCGGTGCACGAAATTTGTGCACTGAGGGGGGGAGTGTCCCTCAGCCCAGCCTGCACCCTCTCCAATCTGGGACCCCTTCGGGGGATATCCGACTGCAGTTTAGGCCTGATCAGTCGGACATCCCTCTCACAATCCAGGACTGCTGGCTCCCAACCGCTTCTGCCTGCCAGCCTGATCACCCCCAACTGCCCTCCCCTGCCAGCCCGGTCGCCCATCTTGTGGCTGTGGGCACCGCCATCTTTGAGGGTGTCACAGTCAATTAGCATATCCCCTCCTTATTGGCTGATGGTGCCACCATCTTTGAGGGTGGGCAGTCAATTAGCATATTCCCTCCTTATTGGCTGTGGGCGCCGCCATCTTTGAAGGTGTGGCAGTCAATTAGCATATTCTCTCCTTATTGGCTGTGGGCACTGACATCTTTGCAATGGCATGAGGGTCAATTAGCATATTCCCTCTTTATTAGATAGGATACCTGCAAGCTGCTTTAACTGTCCTTTAAATTCTGTATTGATTACCGCCATATGTATCAATTGAAAAGGATAAGGGTATAATTTCAGTGGCTACAAAATTGGCATAAAATATTTTGCTCTTCTAAATGTCCTCTCTTTTTAACCTTCAAGCATCAGCATCCAGGTAGTCAAACCAACAACTTCTAACTTTTTAGTTCTTACTATTTTTTTTCAGTAATGTTAATCCAAAATGTTCACTCTTATAGTACATACATGAATAATACCTTAATGTATATTGAGCACTTATTGTCTGTTACTAGAGCTTAACGCCCATAA